AGCACTGCAGTACTGAGTAGTTGCAAGCAAGGTTCTAACACCACAGAGCATTTTTGGAAATTCAGAAATAAAATACTGACCTCGGGGGACCTCAGGTTGAGCTTCAGTGCCGGGCTTTTTGATGTCCAACTGTGTGCAGCAGCTTGGAACGTTTTGTGCAGCAGAGAAACTTTTTTTCATCCCAGAAGCCTGGCTGGTTTAAACCTGCATAGCGTAGTTGGGGGGTGTGGGTGGAGGACATCCGTTTTGCTCTGCACCACACAAGCTTCACGTGCTCCCTCAAAACCCTGTCTTAGAAAAGCTGGGCAGGCAGGAAGGTAAAGGCATGGCTAAAAGGATGCCTGGGCGATAGGTGCCTCGGGCACCTTTCTGCAGCTGACACCTTCCGAGTAGGAGGGTAGAAGTGGCATGTGAATGAAGTTGGGAAGGTCAGTGGGATTTGCTAAAGTAGAACTTTCCACTTCCTCAAAAATTTACTGGTGAGAGAGCTGGGCAGTGCAGTGGAAAGAGGGTTTTACCAGCCACCTAGGTGTGAGAGGAGCTGGCTTGTGTCTTGGTGTGGTAGGTGGGCTTTACATGTGCTTGACTTAGCTGCTGAGGATGCTCTCTGGGGAGGATACCTACGCATTAGCGCTAATTTAGGCACTAGTATAATCTTCCTGTTGCTGGCATTTCAGTGGTGGTTGTTCGAAGGTAGGAGGGGAAGGCGATGAGCCCAAACCAGCTGGTGTGGGAAGTGCCACCGTTTGGAGTGATGGATGCTGCTGGGGTGTCTTTAAAGGGAAGAGAGCACATCCAGCCTGCAGCCAAGCTGAGAGGCCGAGTAGGCGGTGCAGGGGCAGATACAGGTAGAACAGAAGACCAGAATTGATGTAATGAAATCTTCAGGGTGGATTAAAACCCCTTAAAGGAGGGGGTCAGAATGGGGAGGGGAAGCAAGCTTTGTTTCCATGAGCGCTTGTACTTAAATACATTTTCTTCTTTCAGTAATAGATTTTTAATGAGAAACTTGCACCACTGCTACTCCAGATTTAAAGATCCAGGCCCTGTCTAATTGTATAGCTGAGTGTTTAATTCCTTGTATGTTTAAAGAAGCACAGACACCTGATTTGGACAGATAGAGGCATGACAGATACTGGTGATTCCTACGCTCATATGAGAATGGAGAAAAGCTACAGTTAAGTGCATGGTAAAACAACTCTGTTTCAGAATTTCTATCAGAATAATTATTCTGTTTAAAAATTGTATCTTGAAACAGATGAGAACCGACAGCTGAGGGGCAGGAACAGAACAGGAGGATAAATGTCTGGGAATTAGAGAGGCTGGGCGAGGAGAAAGGTGAGGGACTAGATGCATTATTGTGCACTTTTCCTGTCTTATGATTAATAAATTGGGCATTCCTGAGGTGATGAGAATGTGCTGCTAGTATTATTTTCTTCTTTATATGCACCTTTTTTTTCACTTTTAGCTCTCTTAAAGTCAGGGTAAAAGATACTGTGAGGCAGCACCTTCAGTGGAAAAACTGTTGTGCTTGGGTGTGGTTTGGGTTTTTTTAAATTTGAGGTAACTAGACATAATCTTAGAGCAGTATAGCTAATAATAAAGGAAGAAGTGTTTGCAAGTCATTGAGCTTTGTGCTACACCGACTATACTTAGCAGAGCTCTTTACTCTGAGTTACACTTCAGCCATATTTAGCAGCAGGGTGATAGCAGAAGCTTCGCTGAATTTTGGGTACAGCATCCATTTTGCCTAACATAGTAGTTGCCCCACAAGAACAGCACCATCTCTTCTGGCAGTAAAGGAGATGTTATGCATCTTTGTAAAAGCTGGTACAATGGGATCCTGATCCTGGGACTAACACTTACCTATAAGGAATAAATTGCAAAAGATGTGTAAGAAACAACACCCAGTCATTGCATCGCATCACGCAATGCTGTTGATGAGAAAGTTGTCTCAATTAGAGATACTACTCACGATTTAGAAAAGGTACTGGTGTTTATGAGCTGAAAACCTGTTCTAATGGGGAAAACGTAGGAGGCTGAGGGAAGTGGATCAGTTTTTGACGAAATCTGTTGAATGCTCTACACTAGAAGAGGGATCAGGTAACATACTCTTCCTGGAAGCATTTTAGAACTGCCAGTTTCACTGAGCTGTTCTGTTTCTTCCTTGGTCTGTAATGGGCACCTACACCAAGCAGCCAGTGAGTCCAGACACTTGCAATAAAGTGGAGTAAAAAAAGACTGGGTATTTTCACCAGCTATTCTGCAATGTTTAAACAATTGTGAGAAAATAAAACTGTGTAAGTTGGAAGCAAGTTTAAACAAATGGTTTGTTTAACCACCAGCAGCACTGAAGAAAGAACACTACCGGGGCTTAGCCCAGAGGACCATGGTCTGGATTTTCAGAGCAAAACTGCTCTACTGCTCCATCTAGTGTTACTGGGTCCCGTTAAAGGTAAGGGCTCCACCTAATTTAAGTAAACTCTACATCTAATAGGGCCTGATGTAGTGCCATTGAACCTCACGTTTGTGACAGGACATTTCTGGCCTTATGTTGCCAGAAGGTCCTCTGCTAAAGTCCGCAGTAGTTGATTTGAAATCACTTCATATTAACTAAGTTTCATAAGCATGGTAGAATTCTTCCTATAGAAAACTGGTCTCAGATTGGTGACTGAATTTTGTAGGAATACCTCAAGCAACAGGGACTTTTGCAGCATTTTCCCACTTTTTAGTGTTAACGTAGGTAGGGAAAGGTAATAATCAAATGGAATTGTAATAAACTGATTTTGTGGTCACTTTAATGTTGAGTAATGTGACACAGAATAATGTGTTCTCTTTTACTAGCAGCAGTTTTTAAAGTCAGTGCCAAAAATCAGTGCTGGTAAAGCAGGGTCTGTGTGATGGGAGATCATAATGTAGGGAAAAAAAAAAGTTTCTGAATGTACTTTTTTAGCTTGACTACAAAACTATATGAAGTTGTGTTATCTCGCATGGTTATCTGAGTTATTTTGTTTAAAGTAGTAAATTTTGCTCTACTTCTCGTCATGCAAATGACTAAAGAGCACAGCAAATGGGAGAGAGGCCTGATGTCTGGATCTGTGAGTCCTAATCCAGAAATCCCACAGCTGGGCAGTGGAAATGCAGTGCTGCTGAGCACCTACACCTCTGTGGGTACAGCTTCAGAGAAGATCCTGTGAGGGCTCTGTCCCTTAGGATGGATATTGGGGATGTTCAGCTGATCCTGAGGTGACTGCCATGTCTTCCTCTTTTCCGTCCAGTGTCCGGATTTGTCCCTTCCCCAGCTTTCCTGTGTGGGCTCTCAAGTTGTGCTGATGATATGATACACTTCAAGTCACACACTTTTTTTTTTTTTCTTAAAAATAATGCCTTCCAAAATAAAAAGTGCAAACTGAAAGTACAATCAACATCTTTTTGACAATACAGAACATTAAATTTACAAATATAAAATTACAACTGAATATTTAATTTAGAATTTGACAGAAAGTCAGATAAAGTGCAAATAAAAAAAGACTTTTTTAGTTTTTTGAGAAGCTTTCATCCTATGTTTGCAGACACAACAATTTTGAACGGCAAAATATTTAGAGTTTGGAAGTCTGAGAGTTGTTGATCGAAGGTTCTTGAGTTGCAAGAACCAGCACTAGTTTCTCATCTCTCAAGTTCTGCTTCCAGGATTTCTCCCCATGTGTCCACGTCCATTGGATACATGCTCTTCTCTGGCAAGCTGTTTTGTGAAGGAATGTTGCTGTACTTCCCGCTCAGCCATTCCTGCTTCACTTTGCTTTTCCAGTAGTTTCTCAGTAATGTGATCTGATGGAAAAACAGACAGCTCAAATCTTGGAAATGAACTAATTTAAGTTGCATTCAATGCAAGTAAGTTTTGCATTGGAAAAGTAATGCTGGAAAAATAATTTGGTACATGTATTTGCAAATCTAGATGCTAAGCCCAGGAAGGTGCACTGCTGCCAAGAAGCAGACCTTGGTCTACTTACAACTTTTCTGTTCTAGGTTGGGTGGAGAATCGCTTCTTGCCTCAATTCTTTGAGGGTCAAGATGAAAATCCTAAACCAGGTATTCATCTTCCTCCTTCCTCCTTAAAAGAGGTGCCTCTCACTTTCCCTTCCTATTTCGGTTATCTGCGACCTTTAACTCAGTTGAGCTCTTAATGCAGCCTGGCTGGATACTTCTCTTCAGCCAACCTTTTAGTGCAAGAAAAATGCTGACTTTGGATGTGTGTTTGTTTCTACTTCAAATCCCCTCTCCAAAATAGAAAATCAGTGCAGGGAGCCCTAGAAATTCCTGTGCAAGAGTAGTAAGATTTGTACATTTGAAGGGCAACCACTATCATGGCTTTGCCTCATTCTGAAACAACTCTACTGAAATGTGAAATACCAGAACTGTTGTGGTTTGGTGGGGTGTGGGTTTTTTTTTTTTTTTTTTCTGCTGCTACTTCTCTATTTTCACCCCTCCACCGCTACCTGCTCTCAAACACACCAGCTAAAATGAGGTGGGTATCACCATCTGGCTGGTCCAGAACAGTAGCTGTGAAACCCCTCCTTTCGTGATCTACCCCAGCTTGCAGGCTGGACCTAACAGTGTCAGATTTTCCAGCCTGTTCAGCTCCTCGCTCCTCAAAGCAGCTGTAACTGGGAGTGTGGGGAGTTTCAAAACAGCTTCTCAGAGCTCCTGCTCGTTTCCTTTTCTCTACCCCAATTTTATCCTACTGGATGCATATTGCTTAAGGTATATGGAGGCAGAGCTACCCAGGATGAATTTTCAGGAAGTCATTCCTCACCAGAACTATTCCCATGAAATACAATGAAAGAGCAAGCACTGCCTAGCAGGGATACGTTGTCTTCTCCCCCCCCCCCCCCCCCCCCCCCCCCCCCCCCCCCCCCCC